ATGTGCATTTTATCACTATTTCCCCATNACACTCACCCTGGTGAAATTCATCGATTCACATCCATCCAGCAAACGTCGTAAGGGACTAGGGACGCCCTCGGGATGGAAAGCCAAAAGCAGCTGCAACGATAACAAATATTATTTTTCCAAATCTACAAATTTATTCTTATCTTCTAAAAATAATCTGCAACCTACAATTTCAAAAAAGTGCGAATTATTGATACCTATATTTATGAATTACTGAAAACTATAAGTCAAAAACACACACTAATTTCAATATTTACTAATAAGTTCGATTAATTTACATCAAATGTTACAGTCCATTTGAACCATCAAAAAATGTAGCAAGTTTTAGTTGTGTTAAAAGCCCTTGAAGGTTTAATTTCATCCCCATTTTATTCCCTTTGAAGGACTTATTCAAAATCCTTTGAACTATTCAGAAAGAAAATTTCAGTTTCTTAATTTTCAGAGTTATAAAATCAAAACAAAATAANCGACCTTTCAAGCATTCGATGTTAGAGAGAGCAAGTATTCGGAAAATAAAGGACAGAATTGCGCTTGGAATAACTTTAGTTTATTAAAATATTTAAATAATAAATATAAGCTATGATCATCTGGAATGGTAGACCTTTCACACAATGAAATAATTTTAAAACTATGTTCAGTAAACTTTAGAATTTCCACCCTCGCATAGCTATGTAAACAAGTTTGGATTTTCTTTGTATGATATTTGCATATAAGAAAACTGTAATTTTTATTTGTCCAAAAATAGTGTGTTAATTTATTAAAACTAATTTTTATTGTTGTTTATATCAAAACTAGAGAAATATTTTGTTCTCGGCCTACCGACCGTTCCAGCATTCGATGTTAGAGAGAGCAAGTATTCGGAAAAGAAAGGACAGAAGTGTGCTCGGAAAAACTTTATTATATTTAAACTACAAAAATATAAGCTCGTTATTAAACAAAAACAAAAATATCTACGTATAATTTCTAGTAAGTAATGGGTCTCAGAAAATTCAATTTTATGTCTAGTAAAAGCTTCATTACTACTAGTAATTATTATCCTTTATTACTACTTTTGTGTCAAACAGAAGATATTTTATTGCGAAAATAAAGTGTACTGTACTGCTATGAATAGGACGAAAGTAAAGCAATCGCGCCAAGAGATAAAGGGAGGTTATCTAATAAAGCTTCTATTTCCATTAACAAACTGCAAACGCACCACAACTATATATATGCGTAAAAAAATACAAAATAGCGTTCCAATTTGCTTTGAGCTGAACCAAGACATTAATACAAATCGCAGTTTGTTGACCGAAATAAAACTAAAGAGGGTGTGAGATGTGGATGGTGAGCACTATGGAAAACAAAAAGTTAGAAACGTTTGAGATGTCGTGTCGTAGGAGAACGTTCAAAAGTACCATGGATAGAAAAGTTTAGAAGCTGTACCAGTATTAGAAACATAAAATACAAAAATACACTCACTAAAGACCCAAACTATTTTTAAATGAAAACGACACTTTATTATATTTACATAAATAATAATAAGCAATTATCACCTGGGTGGGTACCGCTTCTAGACAAAGAAAGAAATTTCAACCCCCTTCAGTATTAAAAATTTGCAGATATAATTTTCAATATATGTAAAAGTTATAACTATTCATTACTGCACACAAGTTATAAATTTATAAATGCACTTAATTTATGCAGGAAACAAAAGCTAATACTTTAAATTAGAAGTAAAAAATTTTTACTGCGAAAAAGTGCAAAAAACCCGCATTTAACATTCCTCCAGCTACCAGTTGAAACGCCGAAACCCGCCTCCCAGCTCCACCACGAACTCTTCGTGATGAAGGATACCTGGGAAGTCGGATTCGACGTTTAACCGATAACTGGAACAGTGGAAAATACGGGGGTAATACACCGCCGGACTTACAGTCGCCCGTTTGGCCTATTCCACCTAATAACGCTCTGCTATAGGTACCCTCACTAAGCGTCTAGGCAGTCAACCTACGATCTGCGACCGTATTACCGTTTGAGTGACTAATGAGCCCACCTTATATATCGTTCAAATGCGAAAAATAGCGGTGAACAGTTACGCTTGTATTACCTTTTTTTAAATCCAATAACAAAAATACGACCATTCTTCTGTACAAAATCCACTAAAATTATAATTTTGAAAACATTTGTAGAAGGAATTTTTGATTAAACAATCAGAATAAACTGAAATAATATGCTTAAAATTGTACCTGAACTACATGAAAATTACTGAAATAGTTTAAAAATAACTTAAAATAAGTCACTTATCAAGAGAAAAACTTCAAAATTCTGCCCTAATCACCGATTTAATTAATTTAATTTTAAGAACAAAGGCCAAATAACAAACACTCACCGGAAAGTAGTTTTAATTTAGTTGTAGGAAAAGCTGCACATTACACAAAATACAGTATTAGTTTTATCCATGGATATCACTACATATTTCGCACCCCGAGCCGTAAAAAACTGATTTTTTCGAAAGCGATTACAATGAAACATATTAACAACCGAAAATATTAAACAACTGTGGAATTTTCCAGTTTGTTACGCATGCGAGGGCACGGATAGCAGAGGCAAAACTAAAAGACTGGTGGCGCAATCGACGACCGAGGTGCGGAGAGCTTTTGAACTAATACTCGCAGTAATGGAACGTTTTGAAAATAGTAGCAATAAAACTATTTATAACAAAGATTAATTTCTCCTTTCATAATCCCATTTTACCAGGGTTTGCGTATTTACGCCTCATTAGAAAAAGTACAGTAATGTAGATAAAATAAATGAAAACATCCTATAATAAAATTGTAGAAATTAATTACATTAATT